TAAACACATATATCCCCCAATATATATATATATAGAATATATATATATATATATATATATATATATATAGGACAGCTTTGCATATTAATTAGACATTATTTAAGCCATTGTTAAGACCTTGTAATTAATTCATGTCATTTTAAAACTGATGAAGATGAACAGATGAAGGACAAGGAAAGTATTCTGATGAATATTATACACCAAACGTTATTATAAAGATTATTTTTAAAGACAGACATTATGCTCATTATTTAATACCTCTTAAAGGGAGGTCTATCTATTCTGTTATATAAATACACACCATGGCCTGCTCCAGTGCCCCATTTGCCATTCCATATATGGTGAGACTAACTTCAGGGTTCAATTTTGGCAACCAGCAGACAGCTGCCATTCAGTGACTATAACATATCAGTGGCAGCACCACTAACCAAAAGGCAAGAACAATAAGCCATAAGGTGAACCCGATTATCGTTTCATCTCGCTTAAACGTCTGGGAACTACACGATCTCATCTTCATAAATAAGAACGAGTTACGTTTAACTTATAGGTATATTACTACTATAGTACTCTAAGAAAAGTAAGAAAAGTAATCTTTGCCTGTTTTGCTGCAGTAATATCCCTTGCTATATGTTCCAGAAGCACAAACTTGCTTAATATACTGCTTACTCCTATATATTTAAATTTACTCTACTGGTTCAGGTGCAGTGGCGCTTTGGCCCAGAGGCAACGTCTCTGTCATTGGTGTTAAACCCCAGGGTTCACCTCCTGGGCAAGTTCGAATCCCGGTTAGGGAGGTTAATACCTTCCAGTGGACTCACCACCCACAGGAAGGTTTAGGGTGGTTGGTACGGTGCAGTGTGATTTGGGTGGCAACTGCTGCCCTCGCGACCCGGTAACGGATAAGCGGACGAAAATTAATGAATGGATGGATGGATGGATGATTGATCGGTGTTGTATTTAGTTAGGAGCGAATGAATAAACAAATGGTCCTTGTCATCATTCGTTATCATTTTTGATAACGAATGAATAAACAAATGGTCCTTGTCATTGATTACTTCCTTTTATTGATCAAAATGACTTAACATACAAAGTTCACCTTAACGTCTATTTCTTTCGTCTATTGTTTTTCGTGCAGGTGGCTATGTATAAAGCACTGTTTAGAATCCATTTGGCCCACTTTAGAAGACTTTTGGGAGAATTCCTCTCTATCGGTAACGTTGAGAAGAACCACGGAGGAAGCCGTGTTACCGGAAGTGTTGACATCAATCAGCTACTCAATTGGTGTAGCACGATCACGTGTCGAACCGTGCCACCGCTCGCGCACCAAAATTTTATTGCGCCCCGAAGACGCTAGTTCTTTATAAATTGCATCGATATAAAAACGGGCAGGATATTTTGCGACTAACTTTTTGCTGTAAGTTTAACGTAACTCGTTCTTATTTATTAAGTTGAGATCGTGTAGTTCCCAGACGTCGGAGCAGCATTCAATTTCTAAAGGACTTTTCGTGGTTCACCTTACGGCCTATAAGGACGTTTGACCAGCTCAGTTTTATAAAAAACTGTCAACAAATCAGCCAACCAGAAAGTGGGCTGATGTAGACCATGACATTCATTAAACAGTAATATATTAGGAATAAAACAGCCATTTTATTAACAACTGCAAACAAGTTTACTAAATATAATGCTATATCATGTATTTCTTTTATATCCCCTACTCTTGATTGAGTTATAAAGTATTTAGTTACAATTATAAATTTAGTTATAAAGTTGCAACTTTATTTATGACCACTGTTCATAAGTATCTTAAATATGTTTTCCAATAAAGAAAGCAAACAATACGAGTAGTGGTGCATAACTTGGCTTGTTCGTCAACAGCCGTTTTCAACAATATTTCATGATGAACCGAGTGCAACAACTCTGATAAAAATCTTGTAAAAATAATGTCTCTTTTGCTTTTCTGTAATGTTGCAAGTTTAAAAAAAGGCTCACCATACTGTCATAACAATTTAAGATTCGGGTAAATATAACAACAATTTTAAAAAACGGTCATAAATCAAGAAAGCATAGACATAATTCTAATTGACCTTGATTTAACAACGCTTGAAAACATTAATACATGATAATTAAATCACAACTGAGTTATCTGTCATAACCATGGCGTTGTTTTATAGTGTTTACTGTAGCAATGCACCAACAGGCCACTTTGTTAGCTCCTCTTTGTCTTACCGTTATTTTTGAAAAAGAGCAACAAAAGGGGGCACGGCGATGTCGACCAACATAGCCGTCTAAGCAAAGCCGATATCTGTGTCAGTGAAGGTTTCATCAAGTAAAAGCAAAGTCTTGGAAACTAATACTGTTACAGGAGAAACATGTCAACTCACCTTCTGTATTCTTTTCAACGCCATTGCCTCGATGGCTACGCTAACTAGCCCGTCAGCTAACGGTTAGCACATTAGACATAGGACAATTCGGCTTTTGTCGTCGCGAAATCCCAAACCTCACTTAGAGTACATGCAGCAATCACGTCGATATTTATTTGACTTGAGGTTATTGGGATCCCAGCGCAGCGTTTACAACAGAACCAGTGTCAAAGCTTTATCTTTCGTTAGACTGACAGACAACAACCGATATATCTTCTCTCATCACTGCTCCGCTGTGTTTGTTGAGTAAATATCGCGAGACCTTTTATCTATTTAAAAATGGAAGAAAGGTTATAGTTGAACATTTGGAAACTACTAATAGAACTGAAGTTAATGATAACAATAAGAGTAGGACAAAACACGCATTTATATGATCATGTTTTATTAATTGATAAAAGTGTGTTTCTAAATCCAACATTAGTAGTTGTAAATATTGTAATAGTCATATCGTTATGTTCATGGTTTGAAAGGGTTAATAGTTCCGGGAGTGTGGAGGTGTGGTGAGACTGTGTGGGTGTGGCTGGAGGTCTGGAGTGAGAGGGAAGTGAAGGATGAGAGAGTGAAGCTCGGCGGAGAACAAGTGTGGCGTTAATATAAGTTGCTATATAAGTCAATTAGTGATGGGAAGACCGACTCTTTTTATTGATTCGAATCTTTGTTTCTCGAACAGTAAAATGAACGAATCTTGAACTAATCATTTCATTCGTTTTACGATGTGGGCGTTGTAAAGAAGGCTGCGGTTCTCCGACACTAAATACTGAAGGCATGTTGCCTTCAGTATTTAGTGTCGGTTTGCTTCCGTTGAAAACGTCTACAAAGTACACAAAATGCCATAAGTAATTAAAACCATGTGAAAAGCTAAGAAATAAAAACACACCACAATGTGAAGATGAATGAGAGCAAAAAAGACCCGAGCTCTTTCACGTGACAAATGAAACGAATCTGCGAGAACGAGGCGAAAGATTAGTTCACAGAGAATGATCCGTTCATAGTGATTAGTTCACAGCAAAAGATTAGTTCACAG